TCGCCGCAGCCGCAGTGTTGCGTGCGTTGCGGCTGCTGTTCTGTTGCTTGCTGCACAATGTGGAAATGTTGAAATGTGGCAATTTATTTATACAATTTATGTTATTTTTGGCCTCAAGCAGCGGCGAAGTAAATTGCACGCATTGAAATCAGTTCACACTACACACATACAAAAATGCTCTATGTACGCGCCGTGCAGCTAAGAACCTATGACAACACGAATGTATATGTATGAAAATATGTGTGTGTGTGTGTGTGTGTACACACTGGCAGGCGACACACTTTTGAAATTCCAAAGGGAACGGCAGGGGAGTGGAATCCGCTGGCAGCGAGCAGCAGCAGCCAGCAATGAACGGGACCTACTACAAAAACAACAACATGGCGCATAGTTGCCGTTAGGGAATTGTTCAGGGTTGGGAAACTAACAAATTTTCAGCAGCAGCTCAGCTTAAAGTGCATGGCCAAGGCACACACACACACACACACACACACACAAACACAATACATAACAAAGACAAACACACGCACACAGCCAAAGCGCGCTTTTGGGCGCTGAATTTGAGGCAAGTGCTTTTGTTTTTACGAGCAGCCCAGCAAATAATAGCATTTTTTTGTGTGTGTTTGTGTGTGTGTCTGTGCGTGTGCTCTCTACACCAGTTTACAACAATGCACAGCACAAAAGGCGAGGTTAATGTCGAAAGATAAGCAACAAGAAAGATTAAGACAATTGCAAAAAGCGTCGCAAATTAAATTTAATTCTCTTAACTAACATAAAAGCTACAATTAATGCAACAGAGCATGCCGCTTACATATGCATATCATTTGCATTAATTCAGCTTGGGCAGCTTTCAAGCAGTCAAGGACAGTTAATATGCTCGGCATGCTCTTAAATTTGCCCGCAGCGCAGACAGCTTAAGCCCTAAATCTTGTCATTAATTGAGGTTTTAAGTTAGCGAAAGTTCAGCCGTTTCTCTCAGTGAGCGCACACACACACACACATACACACAGACACGCAGAGCGGGAATTGTCTGGGGTCCGCAATTTGATGTTAACACAGCTGATTGATTTATTGTCTGTTCACTGGCTACCGCAAACACCAGCAAAAACGTAAACACAACGAAGAAAAAGAAACGCACACCATAAACATATACAACAATAACAAATATAACACAAACACCAAGTTGATCAGGAAAATGCCAAAAGTCTTCAATAAGCCAAAGTCGCAACGTGTGCAATAAAAACAAAAAACGAGAATAACAAACGGGCACACTCTCAAGCATACACACACACACACACAAACTCGATGTCGTACTCAGTCAAATAGACATGCAAGTGAAAGGGCTGCCGTATATATGTATGTGTGTGAGAAGCTTGCGCTTGTGTGCGTGCATGTATTGTCGCCATAATTAACAGTTGCGACGACGACGACAACGACGACGACGACGTCAGCGGCGACAGCGCGTACTAGCCGCCATTTTAATTTTACGATAACTGCTTTCACCTACTTGTTTTCACCCATTGTGTGCGGAGTGCATGTGGCACCACACACAAACACACACACACGCAAACACACACAAACACACCCACACCAAGAGCAGAAAATAGTCTCGCAGTGCGTCACCAGCGTCATAGAGTTGGAAATATTTCCACGGCACGTCACCAGCAAGCATCACAGTTCTTTTTATACCGTGTTTTTTAGGTTTAAAAAAAAGAAAGGGTATCATGAAGTTGTGCAAATGCATCTGACAGGCAGAAGCATGCATCATTGCAACTGGAGAGTACATATATATTTTATTCACATATCTTTTTTGATGCCTTTCTCTTCCCTGGTGGAAAACGGAAAAGTTCACATTTTTGGGGAATACCCTTGACTTTTGCTGCACACACACACGTAATACATATGCCCTAGAAATCAAATAACAGTAAAATAATAAAAACAGAATTAACTCATGAGTAAAGTTTCCATCGTGTGGCTCTGGTAAAAGAAATGCGCTGCGTATGAGTTTGTTTGGATATATATTTAGATATATATATATATATTTTCTTTTTGTTGTGTCTAGAGAATCTTCTAGTCGCGCGTCCTCGACTTAAATACTCATGGCTTTTTATATTTTGGCTTGTCAAAAGAAATTTACTTTGAATATTAACATGCAAATAGCAAGTACAAAGTGTGCGCTCACTTAAATTAAGCATTCCGTTGAGTTCTGTAACATGCCAACGCGTTTGGGTACCAAATTTAATAATCATTCCACAACTGGTGAACATAATTTATGGACATCGTTGTGATGGACAGTGACATCACACTGATAAGTTATTTGTGCCCGAATTGGAATGACTGCATTATAATAGGCATACAAAATTCCGAAATTCTGTCTACCCTGTCAAATCATTTAGTTAAGCGCAATTTACCAAAGTAAACTAATTTGCAATTGCATCAATTAACTTTGCCCTTTCGAGCGATACGTCCGCGGGCTTTAAACGTTGTGTGACAGTTTAATGATGCCACGTACAGGTAAGTACACACATAAACACACACAGACACACACACACACACACTGGCAGGCATATAGTCCGTCATTACATACGTGCGCCCGTAAATCCCTGGACACCACGTGCAGAGCTCATGCCACGAGATTCAATCAAAGTGAGACGTTATATCCTACCGCACTTAAGCTACTTAACCAACTTAAATGTATCAATATTCAATGTGACCTGATTTTTCCATCCCCATCCACTGCCGATTCACCTACATGAATTATTTCAATACGGTTTCTGTTGGGAATGTTTCTTTTGTGTGTGGACTTAGAACTTTATAAACTGGCTTAGCCAGCATATACATTAAATGCCGCTTAGCTCTGTGTTCGCAATGCCATTCATTTTATTTGTTAGCAGATAATTAAAATGCTTCGTCAAGCAGTTAACTATGTTTGCGCTTAAACTGTTTGAGAATTCGAAATGAACTGCTTTAATTAGCGTCAAGTTGTAGTCAACACGGCTATATTATTCTCAATGTAAGCAGCATAGAGGTTGATTCCTGGACCCTTTTCTCGTTTCGTCTAACAGATGTCTTTATAAACAAATTATGAAATATAAATTCCTGGGCAGTTCTTATTTATTAACTTAAAGTCTTTCAGTATTTGTTTATTAAAAGTTGTAGAACAATCGCGTATCCATATGTTTATACATATGTAATGGGCACTCGCAAACTGTTATTGAAGCGTTCGAAAATATGTGTGTTTACTTAACAATGAAAGCCATGGACAGACAAGGATTCTAAAAATGTTCGAGGGGCTGGGCACAGAACACAAAAGTCTGTAAATATCAATGAATACTATTCGGAGCATTCACGTATGGTCGAATGCTATGCTAATGCTATTGCGTGTTAATGCAAGCATTTCGAATTCAACGTGAAATGAATATGAAATGAAATGATGTATTGGGAAAGCACATTAGATAGGTGTGCGTGCGTGTGTGTGTGTGTGTGTGTGTGTGCACAACTGCGTGTTACGCGTGGCGTATACGCAATGCGGGCCTGAAAGTATGCAGCACTTTTGTTTGGTCTCAATTTCCGTAATGAAAATGAAAGTAAAGCTTGTCAGATATATATAGACATAAATGTACAGTAAAGCAACTTTTGGGGAAAATTATATATTATATTCATTCAAATTGTTCACGTGCTGGTTAAAGATTTGAGTTAAAGAAGCAATTTGAGTCTGGGGAAAGTGTTCGTTAGTTGGAGCTTTCACTGTACTTTTGTAGTTGTTATCCTTTTCGGTGTGCTAATTATAATGTATGTAAATGAAAAACAATTTGACTAATACGTTTGGCATTACGTTTACTGCGACGCCCATTAATAAACCAAAAACTTTGATTTATTGCAGTCGCAAACAACAAAAAACAGCCGCAACAACAACAACAACGGGAACACACTAAAAGCAACAGCAATAATTAACGACAAAGCGCCCGAAACGGACGCAAAATAAACACAAAATTTAATAAGAGAAAAAAAAAACTAAAGAAAACGCAAAGCAAAGGAAAAGCGCAACAAGAAGCGCAAATTGCTGCTGCTGCTGTTTAAATGCTTTGGCAATTAAGCCAAAAATTGTTAACAAAATGCGCAATGCATAAAATTAAACAACAACAACAACTAGCAGCAACAACAAGAGCTGAACTTTGTACGCGCAGGACGGCGACGACAGGTGGCAGTTGGGCGGCCCGCAGCGCCGTCGCCGTCTCATTGAATTAATTTCAACGAATAGGCCGAAACGGCACGTAGTTTGCCGGCTGGAAAACAAACGGAAAATTGTAAAACGATTAGCTGAAAAACCATAAGTAAATGTAAACAGCCAGCCAAAAGTATTTCCACAGCCGAAATCAACGACTGTCAACTTTCGATTGGCGTTTGTCGCGTTTCTCGCTTTTTATTGATTTTATATAAAAAAAAAAATAAAAAACAACAACAAATGGCATTGAACAGCGGCAAAAGAAATAAACAAAAAACAAAAAAGCAAACGCAATGTGAATAATTTTACTCAATTGTAGCACGAAACAGAAGAACAATATATATATATATATATATATATCTGATGATTCAAGACAACGCACACACACAGACACAGCGCCACACACAAGAAGCCCATAAAAGTGTGCTATAAAAACGCATAAATTCAAACAAACAAACAACGTAAAAAGCCAACTAAAGTTCAAGTTAAAGTTGAAACAAAACCAAAAATAATAGAGAAAAACACAAAAAATTAGCCGCAGCTGAAAACAAGAAACAAACAAACAAAGAAGAAGAAGAACAACAACAACAGTTACAATTACAATTACAATGCCTAATTGGCCAGGACAATAGCGTAAAGCGAAGCAACGAATAGGCAACAACTGGAAGCAGCAAAACGACAAAAAGCAAGACTGATTTTTATGTTTTTAGTTAGCTTTTTATTCAAACAAACCTAAAAACTGAAAACTACTCAAAATAGAACTAGAATAAACCCACAACGAATGCGAGATACGAAGCGGAAACCTTAGGAAATTCGCCATTTTCCAAGACAACGGCAACAACAACAATATTATCAACGCCCATCATCAGCAGCAACTGAAATTGAAACTATTGAAGCAATTGCAGCGCAATGTTTGTGTTCATTGCCGTCCTGTTGGTCAATACCTGTCTGGCTGGTGAGTGTACACTTGAAGAAAATGCATATAGCTAGTACTTTTTGTGCTTAAATCAAGTAAAAATTGGCTTAAAATCGTATTGAGTTTAATCTGAGATCGATTGTTTGTAAGCCTGGTTCATATTTTCTTCTCTTAAACAAAATTATTTTCTTTTCATTATATATTGTGTATTTTATTAAGTGAGTACTTTTGAGTATGTCTAATTTTTGCGATGCGTACTATGAGTATCTATGCCCCAGACAAACGCGTATGTTCTATTCATTCGTTAGTTCATGTTTTCTTCTTTTAAACAACATTACTATAGATATTATGCCTAAATTCCAGAACAGTTTCATCTTAAATCAAGAAGTTTAGTACGCTTCTTGAATGAGTACTTTTGAGTATGACTAATTTTTGCTATGCGTACTATGAGTATCTAAGTTCCAGACAAACGCATATGTTATTCAAAGCTTATCTGTACGTAGCTCTGTCTGCCATTTAGCTATTTCTATATCTATAATTGTACTCTTTTATAGGTACCATACCAGCTACGCCGGAAAATATAACCGTAACATTTCTAACGCCCACCGCAGTGCGTGTCTCGTGGCAAACGCAGATTGATCTGAAGGCGCATCCAATTGAGAAATACATTGTGACCTATAAGCCCACAGATGACAGGTAGGTACCTCTGGCATTACACAAATTAATTATACCCACAAACAGATGCACACAGACACACACTCAAACACAAATACAACAGCCCCTTTTTTAGCAGTTCAAAGAGTTGCTGCAATTATGCAAAAAGGCGTCGCCGGCTTTACAATATTTTATGCAATTGACAGGCTCAAAGTTTGTGTCTGTGTGTGTACTTTGTGTGTGTTTGTCTGTGTGTGTTCGTGTGTGGGTGTGCGTGCTACGGCCCTGAGCTAAATAACGACTCGAGTTAAGGGCTCGTGCTGGAGGGAGGGTTCAGGCCACAACCGCAAATACAAAGTTAAAGCCAAAATGACCGCGTCTAAAGGCAAAGTCCAAAAAGAAAAACAAAAGCCGCGTGTACTTGAAGTTTTCCCAGTTATTGTACACTGAGCGAAAATTTCAATGAACCTCCAAAATATCGTAAATACTGAAACAAATGAAATGTTTGGAAGAAGAGAGCAGTTATTGTAAACGCGCCACGAGCAAGGCCGGGCTATAATCGCTATTATTGACATAGGTCGAAATTTCAAAACCCCATAACTCGGTCAAAACTCTACCGCTTTCCAAAAGGTTTGTCTTTTTGTGCATGGTTTGACCTCTAGATCAATTGTGCATCTAAATCTGGCAACATGATTTTTGGTCGAAATTCATGTGAAAATGGAACCCTCAAATATCGCATATAGACATAGGTGGAAATTTCCCAACCCCATAACTCGGTCAAAACTCTACCGATTTCCAAAAGGTTTGTCTTTTTGTGCATGGTTTGACCTCTAGATCAATTGTGCATTTAAATCTGGCAACATGATTTTTGGTCGAAATTCATGTAAAAATGGTACCCTAAAATATCTCATATAGACATATTTCATATAGACATAGGTCGAAATTTCCCAACCCCATAACTCGGTCAAAACTCTACCGATTTCCAAAAGGTTTGTCTTTTTGTGCATGGTTTGACCTCTAGATCAATTGTGCATTTAAATCTGGCAACATGACTTTTGGTCGAAATTCATGTGAAAATGGTACCTTAAAATATCTCATATAGACATATTTCATACAGACATACGTCGAAATTTCCCAACCCCATAACTCGGTCAAAACTCTACCGATTTCCAAAAGGTTTGTCTTTTTGTGCATGGTTTGACCTCTAGATCAATTGTGCATCTAAATCTGGCAACATGATTTTTGGTCGAAATTCATGTAAAAATGGTACCCAAAAATATCTAATATAGACATATTTCATATAGACATAGGTCGAAATTTCCCAACCCCATAACTCGGTCAAAACTCTACCGATTTCCAAAAGGTTTGTCTTTTTGTGCATGGTTTGACCTCTAGATCAATTGTGCATCTAAATCTGGCAACATGATTTTTGGTCGAAATTCATGTGAAAATGGAACCCTCAAATATCGCATATAGACATAGGTCGAAATTTCCCAACCCCATAACTCGGTCAAAACTGTACCGATTTCCAAAAGGTTTGTCTTTTTGTGCATGGTTTGACCTCTAGATCAATTGTGCATTTAAATCTGGCAACATGATTTTTGGTCGAAATTCATGTAAAAATGGTACCCAAAAATATCTAATATAGACATATTTCATATAGACATAGGTCGAAATTTCCCAACCCCATAACTCGGTCAAAACTGTACCGATTTCCAAAAGGTTTGTCTTTTTGTGCATGGTTTGACCTCTAGATCAATTGTGCATCTAAATCTGGCAACATGATTTTTGGTCGAAATTCATGTGAAAATGGAACCCTCAAATATCGCATATAGACATAGGTCGAAATTTCCCAACCCCATAACTCGGTCAAAACTGTACAGATTTCCAAAAGGTTTGTCTTTTTGTGCATGGTTTGACCTCTAGATCAATTGTGCATTTAAATCTAGCAACATGATTTTTGGTCGAAATTCATGTGAAAATGGAACCCTCAAATATCGCATATAGACATAGGTCGAAATTTCCCAACCCCATAACTCGGTCAAAACTCTACCGATTTCCAAAAGGTTTGTCTTTTTGTGCATGGTTTGACCTCTAGATCAATTGTGCATCTAAATCTGGCAACATGATTTTTGGTCGAAATTCATGTGAAAATGGAACCCTCAAATATCGCATATAGACATAGGTCGAAATTTCCCAACCCCATAACTCGGTCAAAACTGTACAGATTTCCAAAAGGTTTGTCTTTTTGTGCATGGTTTGACCTCTAGATCAATTGTGCATTTAAATCTAGCAACATGATTTTTGGTCGAAATTCATGTAAAAATGGTACCCTAAAATATCTCATATAGACATATTTCATATAGACATAGGTCGAAATTTCCCAACCCCATAGCTCGGTCAAAACTCTACCGATTTCCAAAAGGTTTGGCCTTTTGTGCATGGTTTGACCTCTAGATCAACTGTGCATTTAAATCTGGCAACATGATTTTTGGTCGAAATTCATGTAAAAATGGTACCCTAAAATATCTCATATAAACATATTGCATATAGACATAGGTCGAAATTTCCCAACCCCATAACTCGGTCAAAACTCTACCGATTTCCAAAAGGTTTGTCTTTTTGTGCATGGTTTGACCTCTAGATCAATTGTGCATCTAAATCTGGCAACATGATTTTTGGTCGAAATTCATGTGAAAATGGAACCCTCAAATATCGCATATAGACATAGGTCGAAATTTCCCAACCCCATAACTCGGTCAAAACTGTACCGATTTCCAAAAGGTTTGTCTTTTTGTGCATGGTTTGACCTCTAGATCAATTGTGCATTTAAATCTGGCAACATGATTTTTGGTCGAAATTCATTTAAAAATGGTACCCAAAAATATCTAATATAGACATATTTCATATAGACATAGGTCGAAATTTCCCAACCCCATAACTCGGTCAAAACTCTACCGATTTCCAAAAGGTTTGTCTTTTTGTGCATGGTTTGACCTCTAGATCAATTGTGCATCTAAATCTGGCAACATGATTTTTGGTCGAAATTCATGTGAAAATGGAACCCTCAAATATCGCATATAGACATAGGTCGAAATTTCCCAACCCCATAACTCGGTCAAAACTCTACCGATTTCCAAAAGGTTTGTCTTTTTGTGCATGGTTTGACCTCTAGATCAATTGTGCATCTAAATCTGGCAACATGATTTTTGGTCGAAATTCATGTGAAAATGGAACCCTCAAATATCGCATATAGACATAGGTCGAAATTTCCCAACCCCATAACTCGGTCAAAACTCTACCGATTTCCAAAAGGTCTGTCTTTTTGTGCATGGTTTGACCTCTAGATCAATTGTGCATCTAAATCTGGCAACATGATTTTTGGTCGAAATTCATGTAAAAATGGTACCCTAAAATATCTCATATAGACATATTTTATACAGACATAGGTCGAAATTTCCCAACCCCATAACTCGGTCAAAACTGTACCGATTTCCAAAAGGTTTGTCTCTTTGTGCATGGTTTGACCTCTAGATCAATTGTGCATTTAAATCTGGCAACATGATTTTTGGTCGAAATTCATGTAAAAATGGTACCCTAAAATATCTCATATAGACATATTTTATACAGACATAGGTCGAAATTTCCCAACCCCATAACTCGGTCAAAACTCTACCGATTTCCAAAAGGTTTGTCTTTTTGTGCATGGTTTGACCTCTAGATCAATTGTGCATTTAAATCTGGCAACATGATTTTTGGTCGAAATTCATGTAAAAATGGTACCCAAAAATATCTAATATAGACATATTTCATATAGACATAGGTCGAAATTTCCCAACCCCATAACTCGGTCAAAACTCTACCGATTTCCAAAAGGTTTGTCTTTTTGTGCATGGTTTGACCTCTAGATCAATTGTGAATTTAAATCTGGCAACATGATTTTTGGTCGAAATTCATGTAAAAATGGTACCCTAAAATATTCCATATAGACATAGGCGGTAATTTCCCACCCCCCTTAACGCGCTTAAAACTCACCCGATTCTCACGATGTTTGGCATATTCTTCATGGTTTGGCCTATAAATTAGTTTGACATCTTAATATTACATTGTTCCGGGCTAAAAATTTATGTGGAAATAGTACCTTTAAATATCTAATATAGACATAGGCCAGCTTTCATTTCCAAAAAGTAGCTAAAAATGACTAAATTGTCTAAAATTGGCCAATAAAACACTTTTATTGTCAACTGTCAAGTAAGAGATACTGCTAAGGCATTCATTCAATTTTCGCTCAGTGTATTGCACTGCAGGCACTCGGCGAGAAAGCGTATAAACGGCTGCATAGCAGCAGGAAGGTAGCGGGAAAATGCGAGGAAAGTGCGAGGCAGAACAAAACATACTTGTAATTGTAATATTTTCTGTTCTAGCCGCCAACTGCGGCTGCTCTACATTGCGACTCCCTCTTTCTCTCTCTCTCCCTCTCTCTTTACTACCATCTCCTGTCTCGCTTGCACAGCGATTTCTCTCGTCTAAAAAGAAAAGTAGAAAAAAAAGAATATCTAATTCAAGTGGCGTTGCATATTTCGAGTAGAAGTCGAACTGCGACCAGGAAGGACTCTGCTAACGACTACAAACTAAGGACTTCCGCTTGCGCTCGAGACAAGGCGGGAAAGTGGAACGGGTGATGGGTGACGGGGGGCCGGGACACGTCAAATGTTGGAAGGACATTGGAATGCCGTGTAATAAGTTAAGTGCTTGGCTTTTGTGACTTTTTTGACTGCGGCTGCAATGCCGTTAGGCAGGCTGTTGCTGTTGTCCTGCCCTGCCTCCTTTTGCCTTAGCTGTTGTTGTTGTTGTTCAAGGTGTTTTCAATTTAATAGCTGTGTGTGCGTGTGTGTGTGTGTGTGTATTTGGCTGCATGCGCGTGTTGTCTTTTAATGCCCAACATTGTTGTTATTGTTTCATAAAGTTCACGCCTATATCAAAATTTTATTACGTTCATTTCATTGTTTTTTTTTTCGTTATTGTTTCTCATACAATTCTCATGGACATTCATTTATAAGTTGGTTTGTTTTTTTTAATTTTTGTGTTTTTCTTTACTATCGATTTTTAGTACTCATTAGATGGGGCATTCAGGGGGGCTGTGCAGAGGGGGTGTATATCTTCCAGCCGTTTTTCGAGTAAAATTGTGCTGATGAATAATGTATGATTAGTACATAGACACGTTGACGATGACTCGACTCGACGCTGAATGGGTCTATAACCTGGTAGTAGTCCCTCCCCCAATGGGACTAGCCCCCCACATAACAAACACACACAAATACATTTAAATATATATGTGTATACACGCCCTTGTGCTAGACGCGTAGACAGAAATTACATATCTTTAGTTGCATGCCTTTCTAGTGGACTTTACACAATAAATAAATATGTATATAACATATATGTACACTGAGAGAAAAACGAGGCTCTTAAGACTAGTATAAACGCAGTTCCTCTGGCAAGCAAGTATGAATCAGCATGGATTAAATAGAAAATACAGTCAAATAGTCAAAAATATCAGCACTTTCTAATTTATATGTATATGCTAGAATATGTACACTCGATTTTCTGCGAGTGTACATATGCACATGTGTGCCTGAACTGTCGCCTGTCGCCTGGCAAAGGCTTTGGGGTTCAATTTGTCAAATGCCATCAATAACAATAATAATTAATAACAATTACTGACAATTCCGCTGCATAGATTGGGTATTTTCCAATCAATACTGAAATATGGTCACATTATAATAAACCTTATGAAATATATGCAGTTGAAATATCAAAGAATTTGCTGTCAGCATTAGCTGCAGAGCATTTATTTAGCATATTTCGAGCATTTGCCACTGACAGCTCCTAATTACAATCGTTACGAAAAGGCCAAGAGTCAAGGCCCCGCTAAGTGTGCTACACAATTTGCACTTCCGTTTCTTTCGTTTCCACTTTTCACTTGTTCGCTTGATTCTTTTCAATCGTTTAATTGGTTTGGATATTATCATGCATATAATTTTGGTGGCAAGCAAATTTTGCATTTTGAAAATAAGCAGCGAGCACAGGTGGTAATTTTCCCGTCTGCTGCACAACAGGACGTATACTTAATCAACTTTTTTGATTGTATTTTGCGCTTAAACGACGCAAACTTTTATAAACTTATTCAGTTAGTTTGGCATTTAGAAACAGATTAAGTCAGGGCGCGGCCACGCTTGGAGCCATTTAAAGATTTAAGACAGTTCTTGTTTTTATACCCTGAAGGTATAAAAGGTATAAGGGTATATTGTATTTGTGCAAAATCCAAATGTATGTAACAGGCAGAAGGAAGCATCTCCGACCCCATAAAGTATATACATTCTTGATCAGCATCAATAGCCGAGTCGATCTAGCCATGTCCGTCTGTCTGTCTGTCCTTCCGTCCGTCCGTATGTATGAACGCAAGGATCTCAGAACCTATAAGAGCTAGAAACTTGAAATTTTAGATGTAGGTGTTCCTAGTTAACGCGCAGATCGAGTTTGTTTCCGATAATCGATAACTTACTCCGTTTCCAAGCAATCGATAAAAATCGATATCGATATCCTGTTTTTTGGGCAATTTTGGTAAATAATAAGAGCTAGAGTCTAAAATAGAATATATATATGCATTTGATGTTGGAAGAAGAGGGTCCAGGGTATCCCCTAGTCGGGAGCTCCCGACTAGAACCTCTTACTTGTTTATTATTATCCCGAGCCAAAGGTGGATTCGAACCTGCGCCCTGCATGTGCTGCGTAGCCCTGTCTTTGGCTTAAGATCTTGTGGTCAATCTAAAGTCATTTATGTAAGCTGCTTAAAACCAGTTTTGAGCAAATCGAAACAGATTAAAATTTAGTTGAATATGCGCCCCAGAGGGCAATAAAGTTTTAGCCTGATTGCACAGAAAAAATACTATATGCAACCACAACCTTTCATGTGGGTGTATTTGTGTTAACCCAGTTGTCGCAAAATTTTTGAAAATATGAGAACAGCGCAGCTTATGTTAAAAACAAAAGCAAACAACATAAAACCCAAAACCCGCACAATGTACATCATGCGTTATTAAAAATGCCAAGCAAAATGGTTTCCACTAGCTGCACACATGTTTGTGTCTGTGTGAGTGTGTGTGTGTGTGTGTGTGTACACACATATGGCATATGTATGTACATAGCTTGCATTTTCAATTTGGAGTTTGAGTAATGGACACAGTTTTTGAAAGGGGCCAATTGTAAGCGAAGCTGATTGTTTATTCAACGGCGCCGGAAATCCATTGGCCTGGAACTTGAACAAAAACAACTACAAAAACTAAACGAAAGGAAAAAGGCTAAAACCAATTTGGTAAGGGAAGGTAGCAAAAAATCAAACAGGATATTTGGAACAATTTGAGACCATATGAAAATTCAATTCCCCAGCGCTGAATTCATCTGCATTGCTAATGCGAGACGCTAAACCAGAAAACCGTCGAACGGTTTTGGTGTGCGTGCAAATTGCGGTTAGCGTTGGATTCGAACCATTGACCTCTCTCTCCATCTCTCTTTCTAACTCGCAACTCTCGACATTTGGTGTTAACTTTCAGAAGCCAAAAACTTTCGACATTCTCACACATATGTTGCGTTATTTGGCTGCATAAAGTTGGCATAAAACGGTCCCGAAAACAATTTTGTGGCACTTAAGTCATGCATGGGGCATATCAGCTATATAAAAGCATACAGCATGCATCTCTATTCAATTTGATAGCCAGCAGGGGAATTTACAGGGTAGTGTCACGTACAAACAGACAAGTGTGGCTCGTTTTGGCAAAAAGTTTACTGCATACATTTATGGAAATTAAAGGCAACATCTGGTAATGTGAGTCAACGTGTTTATGGAAGAAACCTAGAAGCAGATTATTAAGTCGAATCCTGGTGGGCTCTAGAGATTGGTGGAGGCGCAGAAACAGGATAATAAATCATGTACGGCACGCTTTAATTAAAGCGTGTTTAGTTTAATTCTAAAACGACTAAAGTAATTATTGAGCAGCTTCGACTTAAGGCGTAGTTAAAATTAGAATGCCATAAATATTATTCAGCCAGAAGGCCATGTCGAGCTTTAAAAACTTTGTCTAACTTAATTTTTAATTCCTATAAATTAAATCCCAACTTATAGTGCTTGTATATAATTATATTAATTTCCTGCTCGGACTGTTAACAAGTTTCAGGCACAGAACAACCTTCAAATATGGTAAATACATATAATTATTGAAAGAATATATCAATAATAATTAAACCAAAGAACTTTTAAAGATCAACGCATGGGAAGTTTAAAAGAAAGGGTAATAAAAAGCTGGGCTGTTCAATAATAAAAGAATGTGAATTCGACTTTAAAACCAAAACAATTTCTCTGAGCCAAGCTCCGAAAAACGTGTTTCAATTGTTGAATTATATGTTTAGTTTTCGTTATATTGAATAAATAATATTTACGAGGGTATTTGCTAGTCGTTTGTAGTTTAATTATTTACACACTTGCCGCTAGTTTTTTTTTTGTCTCTCTCTTTGTTTTTGTTATGGCTGCAGGCAACAAAGGGCGATTCCATTGGGGCCCATTGCGACGTCCTGTGTATGTATGTGTGTGTGTGTGTGTGTGTGTGAGTGCATGAATGTAACTGTAACTGTATGTTATGCATGAATAATGAATCATTTGTCAGGCTGTTGTAACACTGTAACAGGAGACATCGCACTAAAGGCCACAAGTCTAGGCAGCCTGGCCTGGCCACGCACTTGTTAGCTCTCACACATACACACGCACACACACAGATATATACATATATGTATATATGTATTTGGAGGCGTAATACGAGCTCAATTGCGGGAAAATCTAGGACATGTTTGGCTAACTGCCTGGCAAAGTGACAAAGTGAAATATTGGGCCCATGCTGTAATTACGAGCCACGGACCTGGCCTCATATTTCACGTCTCCACGCAGCTAACCATTTATTGTAGTTTGCGCAATTAGCTGCACACTCATACACACACACACACACACACACACACACACACACACACACACACACACACACACACACACACACACACACCAAACACACACACACACACATCTTGTCACACTTAGTTGCCGTTCGAGAGTGGTAATTGAATTAATTTAAGTTACAGGGTTGTACAGGACGTTGCCGGCAACAGCGAGGCCATTGTCCTGGACCGTCTGCTGCCCAGCACACAGTATTCCCTATCTGTCACAGCCATTTGGATGGGCAAAAAATATCGCAGTCGCGGCCAGATTAAATTTCGCACTCTCGGTAAGTCCACAGCCGTGTGCTTAATATATGTCATTTTGCCTTATGTAATCCGTGCTTTCCACCTTCCGTAGATCTGCCCAAGAACACATCACAGCAGGACTTTCCGCCGGGCATCTATGGCCGCAATGGCTCTGGCAATGGCAGTGACGATGTTACCTCCACGGCCACCAATACGCTGACGCACAGAACCGCGCGGGAGCTGCCAACGGTTAGTTCGCATCTGAAAATCTATATAGAAGTGCATACATAATTTCAATCTATTAGACATTCATAACGTTCATGCCTTATACCTTTTAGTCCTATATATTAATTATCTCTCCTTCCTCTTCCAGATACGTGGCGTAGAGATTGGCATTGTGCTCATCGTCCTGATGGTTTGGGCGGGCGCCATTGCGCTGTTCTTCAATCGCTGGGGCAAGATCCGTATGCTGCTGCCCTATCAGCCGGACTACAAGCACGAGCAGCTCAAGGTGCCCGGCACGGGCGTGTGCAGCGCCAGCGGCTGCAATGGCCAGCACTCGCATCAGGTAGGGATTGTGCCCCAATCGGTGCGGGATAATCGAGACTTTCTTAATGGGGGGCTTGTTGGGGTTAAGCAGAGCAACTCGCTGGGCTGAGGGATTTTTATTGAATTGAACTTTAACCATTGTTTCATTTCTGTTACGCTTTATTTATAGAACCTACACCCCGATTTCTTTGTCAAGGTATTCAAAATATTTCATTTCTCAATTACTTACTGTTTTTTTTTTTTTTTTTTTTTTGCATTTCATTAGCTTTTTGCAATAAGTCAAGTAAATACGATTTGAACTTTAATGAAAAATATTGCACTATTTTCTTCAACCAGTGCACACAGCCCGCCCCGCAGCCCCCGCTTTATCCAAAGCCATTTCTATCTCTTTAAAAACTATGTTTTGAAATATTCAAATGCTTCAGCTGGGCATTAATTTAATTTCTATAACAATTCGAAATGTTTAAATGGGGCTCTTCGGAGCATTTCTGTATATATTTGTCTGTTTCGGAGCTATGTCAGATATTAATTTGATATCAAGCGGGATAATTTAAATTTTCTGTAGCATACTTTGGTGATAACTGAATTACGTCGGGTTCAGATAAGTTTCCGTATGCATTATATGAAGTAAATAATTTTGGGCTACGTAAGATTCTTTTAAAGCTTTAACTTCTCCTACTTCTTAACTATAATTTGCTAAAGAACCAAGCTTTTTAAGTAGTATTCTTTGATTTAGCTTTGCCTCATTTTGTAGAACTTCAACATATACTCTATGAAAAGGCGACGCTCTCTAGAAGTTTTTTGTAGAGTACTTTGGCTTCGGTGCGCACCGAAGATATTTTTTTATATACTTCTTCTTCTTAGAAACGTGCATCAACTCTCTCCAAACCAATTTCCATATACATATAGTCACATTTAGAACTGCACCCAGGCGGTTGACCTAACCAGTTCCATTGATCCATTTGTATATGTTTGATGGTTTCGAGCATTGAAACGCATAAAAAAAAAACCATATTCAAAACAATCCCCATCTGCATTTCCTATACATATTTCGTAATTAGTTTAGCTTTTGTTGAGCTTTGTTGAGGTGTCGAGCTTTCAATGAATATCACTGACAAATGTTCCTTAATTCCACCCAAAAAAAATCGCTGTCGCCTGCTCTTGCTCTCGCCCGCTGCCGCTCTCTCTCTCTCTCTCTCTCTTTTCCTTTCTCTCTCTCTCTCTCTCTCTTTCTCCTGTTTATCGCTGCACTCAGTGCTTGCCCCGCTGCGAGGGCTGCGGCATCTTTGATCGCTGCTTTCAGTATCCGCGCCGGGAGCTGGAGCGCGATTGCGGCTGCCAGTTTGCGCTGCTCCACAAGGCGGACGTGGAGAGCTAGCAACCAGTGCATCGTGAACCGGTCACGCCCACAATGGCCGTTAGCCATAGCCATGGCACGCCCACCAATACCTATGTGCGCGGACCCAGCGTCGACAATCAGTCCATTGTGGGCGCCCATGTGCTGGATAATGTGGATAGCATAGATAGTGCTGTGCCCGATAGGGATGCGGATGATGTGCATGCAGATACGGATGCCAGAGATAACGGCTACCCGCCAGCCGAGGATGAGCAGCTGCTGCAACGAGATCCGGCACCGCAGCGCCTGCTGCCCCTCTCGGTCAACAGTCATGCCAAGCAGCGTCGGTTTGCGCAACAGCGCAGCATACTCAAGAACTCGCAGGAGCGCACCTTTGTCGAGGAGAACGAGGTGCTCGAGGCCAAGAAGCAATTGATATTGCGCCGACGGCGCCTCTTCAGCCACTATCGGCAATACGATCAGTGGCGACGGCGACAGTTCAGCTATGATCCCAGTTACTTTCGCCCGCCTCCGTTGCCGTCTAGACCGTTGGCATATGCTGATTATGGCACAGCTGCCGTCGGCAATGCCGGTGTCGGCATCAACATTGGCGGTGCGCCAATCGGATCTGGAGTCGGCAGCTCCACATCTGCTGCGGCCAATGTTGGACGCCGGCGTCGACAGTACCGGCGCCAGTATTCGTGCGCCGATCGCAGCCGGGATGGATCGCGCGAGAGTCGCGGCTCGTCCACGCTGCAGCTGCAGAAATATCACAGCATGGTCGCCAGCGATACCATACACACCGAATCGTCCATGCTCAATCACAGCAACTACAGTGAACCGGCCAGCGTAAGTGCTTTTCGAAACGCCAACCGAAAAACGAAAAACGAGAAACGAAAACCGAATCGAACGTTCGCTCGTCAATTTGTGCGTTCGTTCGTTCATTCGTTCATTCTTTCGTTAAGTTCGTTCGTTTCGCTCGCTTATCGATTCCGATAATTGCACCAAACGCCATGCACTTCGTGTTGTTGAACATTGGGCACGTTAATCGTTAATCGTTTATCGTTAAACCGTATACCGTTTGATCGCCCGCCGTTTGCAGCGTTGAAAAGTATTTTAGAGCACCAAACAAAAATACGCACCTGAACACCTTTACACCTTGTACAGTTAGAGAGTCAATTCTAGACTCGCGCTTCACAAAAGCACAGCCAGAACACAGCCGAGCAAACCAAAGAACACCAAATTCAAATTCACACTCAGTTCACGTATCGCTTTTGTAGTTGTTTGTGCAGGTTGCTTTACGCTTTTCGCTTGCCGTTGTTGTTGTTGTTGTTAATCGCCTGAAGAGGACATTTACTTGCATAGAGCTTAGTAAATCGTTGCGGCAACATTAAAGCCCTTAACTCCTGTTCTTCGATATAGAAATTGTGTGTGTATGCGTGTGTGTTTGTGTGTAATGTCTGACATTTCTTCCACCTCTCTTTGGGTCTCTTTCCTTATCTGTTATTTCTCTTCTCTCTTTCTCTATTTCAATATTGCATTGAGAATACAGTTCGACAGCAGTGAATGTGGCGGCACCTTTGCTCACCCACCGTTGCACTGCAATAGCCGCGTAAGGAAATCATCGCAAAGACTCCCAGATGTTGACTCATTATTCAATGCCTTACTAATGATCTCTATTTTGCAGCACATCCACATGCTCGCGGAGGAGCGTTCCACATCGATCTCGGAACGCTGCACGCGCAGCCGCATCAATTCGGCCATATTCGTCTCGTCGGAGGGTCGCGGATTCGATTCCATTGAGTTCCTGCGGCGCCATGGCTCACAGAGTGTGCTCTGTCGCAAGGCCAAGAGTGCCGAGAATATTACCGACAATGGACGCAGGGTAAGTACTTGATCTACCGCACATGAGCACAGAATAAATATTTGGCTTGCAGAAGAGTCTGCGTCCGTGGCGCACAGATGATGACTCCGTCCAGCAGCAGCAGCAAAACTCTTCCCAGGACATTGAAATGAAGGAGTGCGGCGGCAACGCCGGCGAGCTGCTAACGCTACCCGTGCTCCACGACGCCAAGCAACCGAAAACAGCTGTGACTAGTTTGCTGGCGCGTGCCTCTGCTATTACCACGGCCAATGTCATAGTAGGCAGCATTTCACTAGAGGCACCACCGCCGTATATGCAAGACGATGACACCAACTCTATATCAGCGTTGATCCACAGCGATGCCTCGGCCATTGTGCACGACTCACAGGATTCTGCAGAAACAGTCGAGGAACTGGTGCATGTGCCGCTGCTGGCCAGTGCAACGGCCACCACCTCCATTTCTGGCGCCTCCACGCCCAGCATCGCCATAGAGGCCAAGCCGCGTGTGCTAGTGCATCAGCGCTCATCGACGGCCTCCTCATCGCCGCACAGTAGCCCCAAAAATCTGAGTCTCGGCCTCAAGATAATCAAACCCAAGATCGGTGCCGTGCCAATGGTTTCCGTGTCGGGACCATCGCCTCCTATTGAGAAGCCGCCGCTGGCAGAATGCTTGTAACAGATGGCAGCCGAAACATTTATCTAAGCGCGCTCACTCAAGGCAACTGGATACCCAGTCCCAGTCACAGAAGAAGCACCAGACACACTCACACACACAAACGTACCCAAAGTAAACACACACACACACACACACGACGCCCAATCCTTGACTCAGATGGAAAGGTAGTTAGAAGTATGCCAGCTGCTCAAATAAGTGTTTCGGTAAAGCTGGGGAGGATTAACACGCCTCTTCAGGCAGTAGAAGTAGATGTAGATGTAAGAGTAGATATAGGGCATAGGGCGTAGGTGTAGTTATTGTACCAAAACAAAATAGAGGGCATCGACATATTGCAAGAAAGCTTTGTATATTCAACAATGACTGAAGTATACACATGTGAACATTAAAAAAAAACTATAGACGATGTTTATACGGCGTTATATACACACACACAACTGATAAATCAGCTTTAACGACAAACAAGTAAACTATCAGGCTTTAATATTATGATGAATTTCTGGTTTAACCCTAGACATAGGCAGACTAACAACCTCTTGATGAAGTTATATACTCCTAATTGTTCATCCTATACCGATATATACCTATAATATATACACACATATTAATAGTTATAGCCAAACCTAGGGCACTCTACACATGTTTATATACATATATACACCTCTATGAGTATATATTTTCACAGACAGCCTATACACGTATACCCTAAAGGTAGTTGAAATACCCACTAAATAGCTTGTAGGCACAAATATTGAACCTAGTCGAAAATGTTACTTACCTACTTACTAGCTAACATATCAAATACCCACGACCAAAAACGAAACGTTGAAACTGTAAACTAGTCTATAAATTTAAATTCCTATAATGATATTGTAATTATTGTCAAGTAAGAAAGTGCCCAGGATGAGTTCGAAGTGTTTTTAAAACTACTTGTACTTGTACGTTTATGTATAGATGTCATTTTAAACGAAATATACTTCTTTATAGCTGTAGATATAGATATAGATAAATATAGGTGTATTTACGAACTCATAATGTATCCTTTTAGTGTCTAAGCATGCATTTTCAAACAGTTTCACTTGATGTACCTACCATACATATATGTTAGTTATATCGATTATAGAACTGATGGCAGCGCAGAAACCATTTGCTCTCTCTTCTCTAGTTAGTTCTTTACCCTATAGTTATGTTACTTAAATTCTCTGAGCAATACTTGCTTGAATAATCCCCTACTAATAATACCATTTAACTTAAACTATACACTATGTTTCAACAATTCTTATGTATATACACACGCACTCTACTTAATAAGCTCTTTTAAACCCACTATGAATACAACACGAACTCCATGCGCAACTATGATGAAACATTTCAAAACTGGATTATCGAATGGAACACGAAATGTTGTTATTAAGGAATTGTCAATTTATGGTCCAAAGCTACAATAAAAAACATGAAACAAATACCATTTGAATGGGTAAGAATTAAGCTTAACTAAGTTATAGTTGGTCTACGTTCAATTCGCGATTAAATAAAAAATATATGGATGTGTATTTTTTGAAATCAAATAAACGAATTACTTAATTAAAATGTGATTTTTAAGAAATTTACGGATTGAACTAACACATTTAATTTGAAAATATTCTGTATTCATTTATTTTTATTTATAAAGCATATTTTCAAACATTGACTTTTTCAAGCACATCTTTTTGGTTTATTTGCAGATTACATTTTCATTGCGGCATCTTTTCAAAGATCACACAATGATTGCCCTGATCATAGTAGCTGCGCCTAAGCAATACGTCTTCCACTTGCAACACCAAACGCTCCAGTTCCTGCTCTTCGAAGACATGATAGTAGCGCAGAAATGTTGTGCGCTGCTCATCTTTGGTTTTCCAGGGCACATAGACATCCTGCTGCTGGAACTCGGTGCGATTTGTATGCACCGGCAACGGCACAGGCACCTGTAGCTGCTGTTGGTCCAGCTCCATACTTTCCAATTGCTGTGCGAGCTTCTGGCGCTGCGCCTGCTCTGTGGTGCGCTGCTTGTTGACAGCTTTGTTTTGTCGCAAATAGGCCGATTTGTTGTCGTTCCGTCGCTGATCCTTCGCCCAGACGTAGACGAGCGCACGACCGCCTGGACGCAGCACACGGGCCAGCTCACGGAGCGCTGTCAGCCGACGCTCCCCGCTGGCCAGATGATGTATGACCGCAATGCTGATGCAGCCATCAATGCTGCCACTGCGCACCGGCAACTGCAGGCAATCGCAACGAAAAACGTTTCGGCCTCGCGCATTGCTAACGCCCAGCAAACCGAGCGAACGATCACAGCCAATGGCCAGCAATTGGGGATTACAGCCAAGATATTTGCCATTGCCACAGCCCACATCCAGCAGCACCGATTGTGGCGCAAAGCTGTTCAGGAACTCGGCAACTTGCGGCCAGGGAGTGTGGCGCGTATCGCTAAAATGATTCGCAATCTTGTCATAAACTTCATGCACATTTTGCTGCTCCAGGTGACTCGCATGCGTGGCCAGCTCGTCAGTCACCGCCTGTGGAGCTGTGGTCTGACGCGTATCACAGAGCGTCGGATATTGGCAATCGCAGGGTCCTCGGCGCAATCGCCTAAAGGTGAGTGAAGTTCGTTTGGTGCGCGACTGCGTCGTCAGGCTGCCCGCTTGCGTGGGTATGACATCAATGTGTTTGGGCTTGATGCCGTGCGTCCAATCATATCGCGATTCGCCGGACATGACCAGGAGCGAACGGCGTGGCAACAGCACGTGCACAAGCTCCTGACCGCGACGAAAGTCCATGACCACATCGGATTGCAGCGAGAGCGAGAGTATGGGATCTACAAAAGCGCTGTGTGTGTCCACATGCGGTGGTATACCCTGTCCGGGCTCATACTCATTGACAGTCAGCTGATCGGGTGTATCAAGCGCTGGCGCTTCGCTGCAGGCCAAGCGCTGCCACAAGAAATCACATGCAGTCGGAATGGGCTGTTCCAGCGGTTGCAGCGCATCCACATTATTGCTGCCGTAAAGAAACTCATAGCCAAAATGCTTGACATGCCTGTGCTTCAGAGTAGTGTCCGCCGTGCAGGCAGAACCAGGGCCAACAACAGCAACTGCCTGGAGCAGAGCTGCTTCCTCCGCTCCACTGACAAAGTTGGGCAGCAGTACGAGACCATTGGGCAGCGATTTTTGCCAACCGTTTTCTTCTATTTCCTTGGGCAATTGCAACACGTAACTGAGGTAAGCAACGGCGCCCTGCTGACCAATGGTCGCCCGATTGTGCATGCCCTGGTACACAAGCTGGCAATCCTCCAATGTGGTGCATACCAGAAAACAATACGATTTCGAGGGCAGCATCAGCACCTGCGACACTTGGCCGCCTGTTGCGGCAGCCGCAGCCAGTAGCGCTTCTTCGGTGAGACCATTGCTCAGTCCCACATTGAGTATGGCCAGGTAGAGCGTAGGTGAGTCACTTTGAGATACATTACAGTCAGCTTTTATAATTGCCAGGCAACGACGTTGCTTTTTCTCTGCCTTTTTGGCCTTGTTTACCTTTTGCTCAACGTGCATCTCGTCAAGTGTGTGCACAATTGCCTAAAAAATACCAAGAAACCTTAAAGTGTGTACACACTAGCACGTACATATAGCTAGAGATAAAGTAAGTTTGCAGATCAAGGCAAATCCTAGTAAACGCGGCAGTAATGAATTTGCATGTGTTTTGTATGGAAATGTTTGCTTTTCAGCGCACTAACAATATATTTAAAAATATTTATGTTGATATACACTTAAATCCGAGACTTCTTTGAACCGCTGCATATACAGTATGTGTTCACATCTAACTTAATAATAATAATAGTGCTTAAATTCTACCAGACTCTATCAATCATACTATTATCCTGCGGCTTCTGATTCATCGTTGTCAGCTGCTGATGATAGTTGCGCATCTGATTGCTGCGACGTGGCTGCGCCAAATACTCGAACATGCTCTGCAAATGCTGCGAAAGCATTTTGCTTAGATCACTGGGCATGGGATCAGTCCAGAAGAAGTCATGATTCAGTGCTGTATCCGCATCGATGCGTTTCTTGGGATCCAGCGTCAAGAGTTTGTCTAGCAAATCACAGCCAGTCGGATCCTTGACATACGGACGTAGACGCTCCTTGACGCGTCGCTTCTGATTCTTTGGCAACTCAATGGATTTGTACAGTTCCAGTTCCTCGACGCCCGGCCAAACGTCTGGCGTAAATGAGCCGCACAATTGTGAGATAAAGGTCAACTGCTGCTGCTCTGTGTTGCCCTGCATGATGGGCGAACGTGTCCACATTTCGGCCATAATGCAGCCGGCGCCCCACATATCCACCGGCGGTCCATAGTTGCGGTCACCGAGCAGCAGCTCTGGCGGACGATACCACAACGTAACCACACGATTTGTATAACGATTCTTGCAATCGTTCTTTGGAATGCTAAATGCACGGGCCAAACCAAAATCGGCCAACTTTAAAATGCCATGTTTTGTGATTAAAACATTGGCAGCCTTCATGTCGCGGTGCAGAATCTGTAAGAAATGTCGCATAAGTCAAAGTTGAAAGGAGCTCTCGATTTGTTTAGCTACCTTGTTGCTGTGTATGTAGTAGAGGCCATTGAGGAGTTGCTGCATCACTTTCTTGATCTCGCCCAGACTGAATTTGACATTCATATTCGACAGCAGACCGGCCAAATCATGCTCACAGAAATCAAAGACCAAATAGAAAGTGGATCTATAGCCGTTGTGAACGGTCGCCTTGGTGCGGCAAATCTCAATGAGATTGACGACATTCTCGTGCTTCAGCAGCTGCAAGATGCGTATCTCGCGCAGGGCCGTAATGGGAAACTGTAAAAGCATGGTGAAATTGTTATTAATGGGACCAGATTGCAGTTGGAACAGTCTGTACATACACCTTCCTTTTCATTGTCCATGAGCACCTTCTTCATGGCCACAAACTTTTTGTTGCTTTTCTTTTCGCGTGCCTTGAACACCTCGCTGCAGCGTAAACAAAAACAGTTGTTGGTGCAATATATTTTATTTGGATACAACTGACATATGTATGTCCCCGCGACTCACCCAAATGTGCCCTGACCTATTTTGGCCACTTTCTCATATTTACTGCTTTCGTCGCAGTACGGAAAATCGTAGTCCTCGATATACTTTTGTTTCTCCATTAGAGACATGGTACGTGAGGAGCTACCTGATGAAACGCCTGACGTTGTTGACGCTTGTGGTAGCATATGTGACATGTGCGCCATTGTCAAATATTACAAATCCAATTTAAAACAAAATTAAATATCTTAAATTTCACAATTGTCGCAATATCTGGTCACAACAAACACAACACTCACAAAATACACCAACACCTGGTGCTGCATTTTCGCTTGCTTTGCCATGGTGTGTGTACACTGTTTCTGATCAGCTGTGCCCGCTATAATCTAATTTCCGTATTTGTGTGCACACTGGCCAAGTGATATAACCTCTAGCAGTGAAGCGCATTTGGATGCAACACTAAAGTTATTATTTATGAATAAACTATTAAATGTAGTGCACGCCGTGCCACGCCAATTTGTGCGTGACTATGCGTTTAAGTCAGATCTGAAAATCAAATGGGTGCGACCGGAAAAGATATCATGCATCAAGCCGGAGAAAAGCGGCGATCTGGCCAAGCTGCCACCACTGAATCCCAATGAGATTCTGCCGGAATACAAGGACTCCAAGGAGTTGGCAAAGTAATTTTGCTTTTCTCACTTTCTGGAATTCCTTTCAATTCAAATTGCAATTACTTTTCAGTGCCGACGAAACGGTCAAATCAATGTTTTTGCTGAGCAACAATCGGAATCATCTGACTACGCGTTATTATCGTGACCAAATGGTCAAGGAGGTGCAGCGTCATGAACAGGACTATGGCTCCATGGAAGCGACGCGTAAGTACATGTTAATTTTCATGAAACTTATGGGCAAAACAACAGACATATCATTCCTTGCCTAACACTCTGCTAAAAGCCTGCATTCTGGAATAGATTACAGAAGCTAGATCCATCCCATTTGGTGCCTAGGTATCCATATACTATAGCTCTCCTTTTTATTGCCTGCTCAAAAAACAGTGGCCAAAATGACTGCAGTTATACGGCGTTATCAATCGCACATGGAGGTGCATCCACGCGACAAGATGATCAAAGTGCGGCTAAAGGAGCTGATAGACAAGCGTAAAAAGTTTCTAAAATACCTGAGACGCTGGGATTATCCGCGCTTCGAGTGGATTTTGGAGAAGCTGGACTTGGTCTATAAGCCACCGCCGGCGCATTTCCATTGGGTAACGCGTAAAGAGTCTCTGCAGAAGCTGACAGACATCTACTGCGAGAAAATCAAGGAGGAGCGTCTGGAAGCCTATCACAAAGAGCTGCAGGCACAACAGATACCCTTTCTGGAGGATGCCATTAAAAAAATGATATTTGTGCGACAGGAGCAGATTGACTGCGATGTGCCCGTGACCGTAACGGAGCAGCAAATCGAGGATGCGCGCAAGGAGCTGGCAGAGCTCAAGGAACTGCGCGACGCAGCGGCTGCCGCCACACAGAAACAATCGGATGAGACTTTCCATTGATCATTTAAAGGCTACCAAGCAATTAAATCGCCCAATGACATTCTTAAATTATTTGATTTTATTGATTTTCTTATGCGGCGTGGAGTTCAATACATGTCTTGGGCAAATGGCGCAGGCTTAGAAAAATAAATAAACATTCGTTTCTTTGTTTTTTTGCAATAAAGAAAGAAAAACAAAACAAGATGATAGCATGATGATTTCTCCATACGGAGATTATAATTGATGAAAGTCTAGCGCCGAACCGGTGAACGGGAACGTGTGTCGGATCGCTTCTTGTCACGCTTGCCATGGGAAGCGCTGCTGCTGCTGGAGCTGCTTGATGTTGAGCTTGATGACGAGTCGCTGGAACTGGACGAGCTTGATGAGGATGAAGAGGAAATGGACGAGGTGGAGGCACGTGATGCTCTTTTACTGCTCGCGGTAGCTGGCGTTGTCTTCTCCTTGCTGCTGCTGTTGCTATTCCCATTGTCTGTCTCCCTGCTCTTCACATTGCTTGAGGTCACTTCATTGTCGCCCCACAAATCATATTTGGACAAATCGCCATCATCGTCCTCGTCATCCTCCTCCTCCTCGTCCCCTTCGATATCACTGCGTCGCGTGCGTTTCGCATCATCTCTGCCGCGCCCATCGTCATCGCTGCGTTCACTGCCGCCGCCGCCTCTGTCATTATTTTTACGTTTCTTGCGGCGTCCAAATTCATCATATTCGCTGTCTGATTCCTCGCGCTCCTTGTACTCCACTACGCCACGATCATTGTAGCCGCCGCCAAAGCCTGCAAATGAATTAAGCCTTGATATAGTAACCAGGCGAGAATTGGTAGCCAGCTTTACGCACCTGTGCGCTCCTCGACATCCGTGAATTTGGGTGCATTACACATGTTGCAAGTCTGGCGTCGCGCCCAGTTGACGTTGGCACACTTGCTGCACTGCCAGTCCTCGGCGCTGAACAGGCCGCGCGACTTGTCAGCGGCTACTTTGCCAATCTCTGTGCCCAGTTTCTTTTTGGAGGAGCTGCTGCTGCTGCCGCCGCTGCTGCCATTGCCTCGATCTCGATCCCGATCTCTGTCCCTGTCTGGCTTTTCATTGTTGCTAATTTCGCGTTCGCGGTTGCATTTATTGCATTGCAGGCGACGCGCAAAGTTCAAATGACGACAGCTGCAACACAGACACACGCACAAACAAATGCCGCGCGCCAACGCGAGCGGATGGAGGAAGAATAAGAGTAACAAAACAACAATTTATTGTATTTGTCTGTTAGGTTAAGTGGGAGAGGGGGTGAATGCAGTTGTTGTGCCGGATGCAGGACACTCAAATCCTGCGCCATAGATCTCTACGCTTGTAGCTTTACGCGCACTCACTCAATATCTGGGCAAATCCAATCGCCAGCCGAGACGCTGACGCCGACGCCGCCGCCGCCAGTGCTGCCGCCGCCACCACCACCAACACCCCCACAATTCGACATTTGTAGCTCGTTGTGTGGCCTTTGGCTTTTGCTGGTGTGCTGCTATGAATAATTTTCGAAAATGCTGGCCAGCCTAGCAATTGACATTTAAAACAATTTTATACAATTTCTGTATATGAATATTTTTCCGGTTTGGTTTTCTTTTTTTTTTTTTTGCAAATAAATTTGTGTAGCGTTGCTAGTAGGGTTGAAATGCTTGACAGATGTGGCCAGACTGGCGCAGCTAAGGTGTTGCCATTTAAATGTGTTTTGCGGTTCAAAAAGTCTGGCAAGGCCGACGCGACAACTAAACATGCAAATTGTATTTGTTTACGCGTAATTTATGTTTCATTAAGCAAAACATTTAATTTTGCTATGAGTATTGTGCTCCGTAAGCCTTACACTAACAAAGACATGGCTGCATTTACTTTTAGAGTTTTATTTTCTTAAGCATATAAAACAATAGCCGCTCCAAAAAGTAAACAACTGATTTTACTGTTGTTGTCGTTGAATTTGTTAAAAGTTAGACTAACGCATAACCAGCAGCTAAATTGGGAATTGTCGGTGCGCGCCACCAGCAACACACACACACAATCATACGACGCTTGCGGATTGCTTTACTTCTTGCCGGTACCGATCTTGGCCTTGGCGGTACCACGGACCTTCTTCATTCTGTTGCGACGTTCCTTACGCTGCTTGCGTGTCTGCTTCTTCTGTTCGAAGAGACCGTGGCGAGCCAGACGGTATTTGGGCTCGAACTTCTTGGCAAAGTCCAGGGTGTCGTAGATGAGGGCAAAGCCCGTGGAACGGCCACCGCCAAAGTTTGTGCGGAAACCGAACGCAAAGACAACATCGGGCGTCACCTTGTACATGGCGGCGAGCTTCTCGCGAATCTCCGTCTTGTTGACCGACGAGAGTCCCGGGTGGAGCACATCGCAGACCATTTGTTTCCGGGCAAGCAGACGGTTGGTCATGAACTTGCGGGTGCGGATTGTGGCAGTTGTACCAGTCGACATATTGACGGAGCTGTAAAATACACACAAATTAGACTGTGATTTTATACACCAAATTGCAGCTTGTCACAGGTCACAGGCTTTTGTTGTTTCTGTTTTTACTACGAAATCAACATAACCTCAATGCACTAGCTGCTCCGTTGAGCAGCTCGAGACTCCACGTGTGACACGCTGCGCTTGCCACACGTTTTAACACGCTTTAGTCGGCCTGCATTCATATGCAGCGGCATTCACACATTGAGCAGCAAACTTTAAATACGGTTTTGACCAAATTAAAACAATTATTACCTTTTAAAACACTCGAAAAGGTTTTAAACACGTCTGCTGTGCGAACGCGATTCTTTAGAAAGGAAGATGGCCACCGTCGTTTCCCAAAAACTTGGCAGCACTTTTTTCGACAGTGTTGTACCGAACGTTTAATTATCGTTTTCACTGCAGCTCTGTGTATGGCGCACATTCAAATCGATTAAATCGTTTTGTTTTAAACACTTGTTGCTCTATTTGTGCGCATTGGCATTTATTAATTTGCAACTAAAATCTAACTTAATTTTGATAATTTTGCATCGTTACGTTTTCTTTGCAGGGCATATACTACTCCGAAGTAGACGGCAACCAAAACGGCGCATATAACAATCGCCAAAGCAAAGTAAAAAACAAACAAATCAAATAAATGCAAATGATTTGACCCAATATCTATGCCGCGTGTTCTAATCGCAGCGCCGCCCTTATGCCGAACCACATAGTTCACCCAGAACATGGCATTGGCCAACGCGCCTAACGGTCTATCCCGGAACTCGCTGGACACCTCCCGAATGGCAAGCTGATAGTCCTGTTGCGTCGTGAGCTCGTCCAAAGCCCAGCTGAGAGCAGCTTTGGTGAAATTGCTCTGCTCCAGCTGCAGGCCGACGCCCAGGCTAACAGCCAACTGCATGTTCTTGCACTCATTCTGGAAGCTGGGCAAGCCCAGCATGGGCACATGACGCATAATGCCCTCCTGCAGGCTCAACAGATCTCCATTCATGATAAATGCGCGGACGCGCGGATGCGCCAAAATGTCAATCTGTGGCACGCCATGCTGTATCATCACATTTTTGGGCAGACCCTCCAGCGTCGTCACATCGTGGCAGGTCCAAATGAAACGCTCCTTGCGTCCGCCAATAAACTCAAAGAGTATGCGCAGCTTCTCTTTGGGCAGCTGACCGCAGAGCTGTTCATTGCCCAGCTGCACGTAGATGATGCCGTCCCGTGACTCCTCCGCATAGCGCTTCACATTCCAGGGCAATTCGCGCGGGCCGCGTATGTGCAGCCCACCTGCGGGGACAATTTGCTGCACCAATGGGCGTGGCGTCCACAGCGGCACATGAGTATTAAGCAGCAACAAAGCCAAATGCTGTGCCTGAAGTTCCGGCACGTTGGCTGCAACTGCAAGTCGTATTTAAAAACGTTAGAATTCAACATTCAAAATAAGCACAAACGATAGGCAGCACAGTTAAATCGATAAGTGTTGCCGACATTGCTGCCACATCCTCAAAGACAGTGCTGCCACATCTGGTACCACAATTTTGCCATTCACAGTTATTTGTGCCGCCAAGCCGAAAAGGCATAAAACTTACTTTTAAAATGTTTGCGTATTAATTTCTCCTGTGCCGCGTAGTGTTCCTTGTGAAATTGCTTGCGTCGCGAAATACACTCGCGTATGTTGGCCAAGCGCGCCGCGAAACCCAGCTCCGGCGTATACGCCTCAAAATCGATGGGCGAACAGGCGACGGGCACCAGCGCCTCCTGCACCGCGTTCATATAGTTGCCGAAATCTGTGCTCACAATGCCGATGGTGGGCTTATTGTGCTTATAGCCCAACGCCAGCAGCGCCTCCGTGTAGAAATAGTCGACAATAATCACATCGAAGTCAAACTCAGCGCTGGGCAGCTGCAACAAAGCCTGCAACGACGGCTGCGCCAGAAAGTGATCCATGGCCTGCGCCCCGATCTGGGCCAAGGAGCTGCGCAGCCTGCTGTCCGACAGGCGGGCCAAGTCCTCCAGGCTGCCGCCAGCTGCTGCATGTTGTTGCACTGTGGCAAGTCAACAATTAGTCTAATTACGTTTCTGTTCTCATTAAATCCCACTCAAATCACACTTACAGTTGCTCCAAAAGTCATATTCCGGCGCGACGACAGTCTCCGCCACGCGCTCCAAGCGCTCGCCCAGGCCGTGGCCGCCGTAAACAGTTACCTAGCATGGAATGTGAGCTTGTGCTTGTCGAGAGGCTTGGCAATATTTACTCACATTGTGCTCCCGGCCGGCCAGCTCGGCGACCAGGGTGCGCATCACAGCAAAGTGACTCTCGCTGGCGTGTGGAAACAGGACGAGTATCTTGGCAGCGCGACAGTTGCTACCCAGCAGCAGCAGCAGCAGCAGCAGGCTGAGCGTGGAAAGTCCGAGTCCCTTGTGTTGCTGCTGAGAGAATGGATATACATAGATAATTGTGGAGCAGCCGGCGTGGAGCGGGTGAGCTTCCAACTTTTGAATACTACTCCTATTGGAGACGTCTTTATTAGAGTCTAAGCTATGCATATTTGTAGCCCGTCTTGATCTACTGCTGCTGGCCCTGATTTCTTAAGGTTCTGCTCTCTTCCTGCTGTTCCCAACTTCCATATTTGTTGCTGTGCAGGATCTTATGCCCTTACACGAGGGTCACCTGGCTCTTATTACCTATCAATAGATCTCCGGTTCTGCCCGGCATTTCTCTCTGTTCCTCAAGATAATATGAATTTGTTGGGCTCATTTTGTTATTACCAATTTGTTTGTTCCAATCAGAACAGACTACGTTTCTTTTTTCAATTATTTCTTTAACTTTTTGTCAATGATTTCATTTGGCGAACTCGCACACACATTTTCAGATGGATTTCGTAGCTCAGTTTTGTTTTCTACGATTTGATTGGTACACATCATCGACAAGAACAAACTTTCTCAGCTCGTGCGCTTATCAATTAAGTATTTTCTATATATATATATATAGTTCCTGATCTCTTCGATCCCTTTGAAGATACGCCCAAAAACTCACCATTTTGCGACGTTTAAAGTTAATTTCTTCAGCTGATTAACTTGAAATAGTTGCTTTCACATAAGTTTTCACTCTTCTTTCGCAATCCTTTGCCGTTTTGTAGTTTTCACTTCAAGCGCTTTGCCGCGTCGCACTGAATGCTGGCAACAAATAATCTTTGAAATGCGACAGCGTCCAGAATTTCTGTGGTTATTCTCGATGTACATACGAGTAGATCAGCATGTGTGTGTGTGTGTGTGTGTGTATGGGAAACATATGTGGCACACGAGATTGCCGCCGACATAAACAATACACAGTCCACATATGCATATGCATATATATATAAAGCTATATATGAGTATGTGTGTGTGTGTGTGTGTGTGTGTTTGTGTGAAGGGGGTTCAATTGCACTGACACAGGCAAATTTGTAATTGCTCCACTCGAACTTGGGGGCCACATGATCCTCCTCTTCCTCTCTCTCGCTCTCGCGCTCTCCGCTTCGCTGTTGCATGCATATAATTCTGCTTGGAGGCGGGTCAAAGGGGGGCAGGCCACATAGCTAATGTACATACACATCTCATAACTTAAAATGCATTGTACAAACATTTTCTTAGTTTTGATGCAGCTGTTCTTATAATTCCCAAGTAGTTTAGGCATAAAAAAGCCTAAGGTTGATGCACTCTGTGGCATTAAATAGCCAAAAACGTTTCTAATTGTTTTGCTTAGGTTTCAGTTAATTTACGGGCTCAATATGGAAAATCCAAATAAAATTAGGAGAATCTTATTGGAAGTGTACGATCTGATTGGAATGAGTAGGTTTTTAGAACTTGCGGCAAACTCTTTGGCCTGTTATCAGTGTATTTTTGGGTGAAATTTATTTCTTGTTGGAAAATTCCATTGAATTAAGAGCTGAGGAAGCTAAGGAAAATTCTGTCTAGTAGTTGTATATTCCTATTGGAAACCCGCTCACCTCGTTGGCTTATAAGCAAATGTATTTTAATAACGGATTCAAAGCGTTTTCTAGCAAAAGCTTCAACTAGTTCCTATTGGATTAAATGTCTTATATGTTCTGATAAGAAACAAATATATGAATAAGTTCTCAAACGACAAAATTCAGATAGGAACTTATTCATATGATTCTCGAGCACTGCTTACATTTCTTATTAGACTGTTCCAATCGGATTGCAAAGCAAAGCGAATTGATTTGGCAAATGTTTTTTTTTTTGTCGCATAAGCAAGGCTTTTTTAGAACTTGGCTGAAATTGGCATTGACAAATGATATATAAATATATATGTGCCTAACAAATTGACGAGCGGCTGCTAAACTGAAGAACGTGACACGAATTTCGAGTCGACATCTGTGTCAGCTTTTTATTTTTATTAAAAAAAAATCCAGCTAAAATCAGCGCAGCAAAGTGAAAGAGTACAGAAACAAGAATTAGCGACAAAACAGCTGCAAAAGGTGCAGAAGAAACCGGTTCCAATAAAGGGAAGCAGGAAAAGTTCAAAAGACAACACAAACACACACACACACACACACACACCTGGAACAGAATTTGGCATCAAAAAACCAGTTCAATGAACCGAGACACAGAACAAAACAATTTCTCTGTTCTTAGTATTTCTTTCTTTTCTTGTTTTTTTTATCACATAGTTAAATATAATGCATTTCTAGACGTTACAAATTTGAGAATAGTTTTTGAGCCGAGTATATTTGCTTAGTGTACAAATTATTATTTTAAATGCAAACCCAACTCGAACGTTGAGAAAAATCGATTGCTGCTCTACTCTAGAGTACTCTAATTCTAATTGGATTGAAGGACATGCTTTGAATCTGGCAAAATGCAAATAAAAAATGTATATATATATGTATGCATTTATATTTGATTATGTTTGTGCTTAATCTGTGGCATCAGTCTTGGAAACGGCAAAGGGCTCGGCAACGGGAATGGTGCCACTGTCGGCAATAACGACATCCTTGACGGGACGATCGCGTGCATCCGTGGCGCTAGACTCGATTTTGCGCACCACATCCATGCCGGACAGTATCTTGCCAAAGACAACGTGACGTCCGTCCAGCCAGCTGGTCTGCTTGGTTGTGATAAAGAACTGTGAGCCATTTGTGTCCTTGCCAGCATTGGCCATGCTCAGCCAGCCGGCGCCATAGTGCTTCAGCTTGAAGTTCTCATCCTCGAAACGTTCGCCATAGATGGAGCGTCCGCCGGTGCCGTCGCCCTTGGTAAAATCACCGCCCTGGATCATAAAGTCCTTGATGATGCGATGGAACTTGCTGCCCTTGTAGCTATATGCACAGATACGGATAGAAGAAGAAGAAGCAAGCAAACACAATGGGCAAAATTAGTGTCACAGCATTTGGTAAACAGTTCAATTTGGATTAGTCGCTTTTGTCAACTAATTCTCAGTTAAACGCCACGTAATTGATATGAACTACTCCCGCTCTAACCTATAAATACATACGAGTAGTGTGTACACACTTACAGCTAACTGCATACGTGTGCGTGTGTGTGTGTGTGTGTGTATTGCTGGGCCAAATAACGGCGCTTCGTTTTGTTTTTGCTTACCCCTCGCCTTGCGGCTTCTCGGCCAGCTCCTTGAAGTTCTTCACGGTCCTCTCCACAGTTTTGCCAAACAAACCGATCTCAATGCGACCGGCCGCCTCGCCGCCAATGGTGATGTCAAAGAAAACCTACGCAACAAACACATATTCATGAATACACTTGATGAAAATTAAAAAAAAAACAGCGCAGATGATTTATGTGTTTGTTTGTATCGATGTGTGTATACCAAGTGACGCAGGTACACACAATGTGTGTGTGTGTGTGTATATATGTGGGGTTGATGTTCTTACCTTGTCGGTCACTTTGGGTCCTTTGCTTTCATCAGCAACCACAATGCCGGCCGCAATGGCGACCAGGCACAAAGCCAGTTGCAACTTCATTTTCTATAAGTTTTTTTTTCACCACAAAACTTTTTCGCACAAAACACGTCCGCACAGCTCAACCGCAAGACATATACTGAGAGTCGCATTTAACATGACTAGCTGCTGTTGCTCTTAACATGCAATGTTAGCAATAACAGTGCTGTAAAATGTTAACATAACATATCGATAACATTTATGTTAACAGCTATGTTAAGCTTGGGCGCGAATGTAATTATTTTGAACTTAAGTTTTTGCCAGTCATTTGCAAGCGGGTTGCTGTTATAATTTTTTGATAAAAGTCAAACGGGGCAATTAATTGCGGGTTAGAATACATACCAATGCACTTTTATTAATTACGTATGGAATAATTTCATCGCGGGCTTACAATAATATTTAATACGTTTTTGCTTATTGTAAACAATAAACCAACTATAATTATATGTTTTAGCTGATTGAGAATTCAGCTTTATGTTTCTAAAAAAAAAGCATACTGAATTGGGGTCTCACTGCAAAATCATAAACGATTTTCAAAGTTTTCAACATATATGTGTATTTAAATACGATTATAAACTGATTTTGCGCTTCATATAAATAATCAAGAAACTGATAAACATGCTGCAACAGGGAATATCAGACCTGAAACTTTTGAAGTGCTACAATTGAGTATAAAGGGTATATATATATATAAATATATATGTATATAATAAGGTCGAGCACTAAAGCATATAACATTTGATTAGATTAGAAAGAAGAAAAGAGGTTCAGCAAATTTTAAGACCTATCACATATATAGAGATAAACACTAGGACTACAGCTATTTACAGAATGCTAAGATAATATAAATTACAAATAATATTATCTTAATTGTACGTAAAATTGCAAATCAGGATTCTCAGCTCTTAACTTAAAACCAAATCAGGAAATATAATTATTGTATGCATATGAAAGTTGTGCGTAATATCAACTACAACTAAATACATACAATATATTATTGTATATTATATATATATATATATATATATATTTGTCGCTATACATTTAAGAACGATTCGAAACGAACTCGTGAACAGCCAAGTTTGGATTTGCATTGCAGTGAGCAATTTTTAAATGTTGAGAAAGCGCGTTTTGCAAAAGCCTTTCCGGAAACGATGTCAGACTTTAATCGCTGCTATTTATCAGAGATTCCTGTTGCTCATCGTCGGCGACTCTGCACAAAAAAAAAAAAGAAACGAAGGGCGAATGAGTTGGGTATTATTAGGAGAAACGCAATAGTTAGTTATAGAGTTTACCTCACAATGCTTGGCTTATGGCAGCCACAGACTTTTCTATATACAACTTTGAATAGCTTCATCAGCGGATCTGAATCATCGTTGCGCATGAGCAAAACCACAAGCAGCAGGGCAAACACCAGGCCCATGGAGCCCATCCAGTACATAGATGAATACGGTTTGTGCTTGAGGAGCACATCAAAGGCAATTGTTAGCGGTATTTGCAGCGACATGGTCAGCGTGCCAATCAGCGAGGAGGTGAGAAAACAGCCCCACAACCACAAAGCCACCGCCAGCACAGTGCAGATGAAGCCATTCAGAAAGAGCAGCCCAAACTGACCCTGGCTGGGCAGCTCGAACGTTTCGATCTTGGTGAAGTGCAGTATAAAGAAAATCGGCCACAACAGCAACAGATTCCAGAGACCAACAAAGCCTGAAAGCAATTCAAAATCATATTTACAACAAGCAACAAAATAAATAGTTGAACAGAAATGTAGAGTTTACCAAAGAAGAGCGGAATGTCGACCTTTTCCTCGGTGTCGCTTTTTCGCTTAACAAACACCAAATACGAGGCATAAAAGAATGCACTGAAGAGGGCCAACAGGACGCCGCGCGTCATCTTCGAGTCGTGCAGATCGTTTATGCTGATGACCACAACGCCGCCAATGCTGATGGCAGCCGCAATTAGCTTCGTGATGGTCAGCTTATCGCCCATGGCCGAGGGAAACAAAGCGGCCAACAATATGGTGAACAATGTGGCCGAAGTGGATCTGCAAGCAGCCAGGCATAAACTTTAACTGGACGTCAGTTGATATTTACACAAACTTTACCGAATGAGCGTCACCATCGGCTCCTCGTCCATGTCCAGTGCCAGCTGCGAGAAGTAATTGGCCGCAAACCAGAGCAGGCAGAAGAGCAGCGCCGTTTTGGCCGTCTTGTGATGCGTCTTTTGGCGCCGGATACGCATGCTGGCCGCATAGGAGAGCCGTGCCATCAGGGCGTCCGTCGCCTCGTGCGCCGACATCTCACGCACCTCGGCCATCTTGCAGAAGCGGACGCTGCGCACACTCGAATCATCGCTCTCGGTGCCGGAGGGCACGCCATTGATGGGATTGGCCACGCGTATGGGCACAAATGTGGAATCGCCCTGCAATGCAAACGGATTAGAACCAGCAGGAGAGTCAAAACTCGTTTAGCTAACCAAAGCAGCTTGATTTGTGTAGTAGTTCTCCTCGTCGGCATGCTGTTCCATCATCTGCAAGGGTTTACACAAATTAATAGGGTATTCTCAGGGTTAGTTATGCCTGCTCCATTTCATACAAACCGCATAATTGCCATGCTGACGCTCGCAAGACTCCTTCCAGGGCGCAATAATGCCAATGATAAGCAAATATATGCTAAACATCGAGGTCTTAAAGTATGTGCAAAAGAACGGCTTGTCATATTTGTCATCCTCATAGAGAAACTGTTCAACGAGAGAGTTTTATTTATCAAGTTGTATATTGTTTAATATAATTGAGATAATTTCGAGTCAATAGACTTTCGTATGTTTGCAAGAGTTATACAAGTTTAAAGCTGTTGTTGGCCTGCCTCTAAGCTAAGGCAATTCATTTATATAGTTTGAATAGTTTTACGTTACGTGACAGCTGCATAAAAACGCAAAGGTTTCGGTTAATCGCATAATTTGCCTAATTTATATCAATTTTCTTTAATCTGACAAAAGTTGACTTTATATTGAAAAGCTTAACGTTGTCATGGCTTTCTGAGTCTTTCCCTAACGTAACTTTCTACTACGTTACGTTACGTTACAGATTGAAGATTTAGATGGTATTGCTTACTTTTGTATCATAATTTGTATAAATTTTATGTCATCTGATAAAAAGTTGCGTTTATATTGAAAAGCTTAACGTTGTCATGGCTTTCTGAGTCTTTCCCTAACGTAACTTTCTACTACGTTACGTTACGTGGCAGTCGTAAGATTTATCTGCTTTTGTTTAATTTGACTAATTTACATAAATTGTATTTAATCTGATAAAAAGTTTACTTCATATTGAGAAACGTAACGTTGTCCCGCTCGCTGAATCTTAACGTAACGTAACTTTCTACTACGTCACGTTACGTGACAGACGGAAGATTTAGCTGATATTGTTTAATTTGTAATTTTTATAAATTTGGTTTCATTTGATAAAAAGTTTATTTTATATTATGCAAAGGTAACGTTGTCATGGCTTCCTGAGTCTTTCCGTAAAGTAACTTTCTATTACGTTACGTTACGTAACAGACGGAAGATTTAGCCGATATTGTTTAATTTGCCTAATTTATATAAAATGTATTTAATCTGATGAAAAGTTTATATTGAGATACGTAGTGTTGTCATAGCTCGCTGAGTCTTAACGTAACGTAACTTTCTGCTACGTCACGTTACGTAACAGACGTAATGTTTAGCAGCTATTTAATTTGTTTTTTATGCATATACATTTTATTTAATCTGATAAAAAGTAGACTTTACAACTTTACGTCACAGTTCCGGTGATTCTTAACGTAACGTAACTTTCTACTACGTCACGTTATGTAACAGACGTCAGATTTAGCCCATATTGTTGAATTTGCTTAATTTATATAAATTTGATTTTCTCTGGTAAAAAGTTTACTTTATATTCAGAAACGTTACGCTGTCAAAGCTTGCTGAGTCTTAACGTCACGTTACGTAACAGACGTAAGATTTAGTTGACATTGTTTTCCCATTTTTTTTTGCTAAATAAATCTTATTTTTGTTAATTGTTGAACATACCTTGCTCAGCTCGCTGGAGGATACCCACAGAACGTTGACTAGCAAGAGGATGGCCAGCCCCAGGAGCAGCTTCTGAGTGCGCCCGAGCATGGTCAACTTATTCAACGCTTCTTTCGCTCAGCTTTGATTTACTTGCTATCTCACTCGCTTTATTGTTAGTTGAGTGTGCGCCGTTGTTGTTGTTGTTTATAAATTGAATTATTTACGCTTGTGACGCCAAGTTTTTTGTTTCATTTTCGATACTTTGCTCTGCTTCGTCAATGGATTTGGTTGGGGCCTAAAGCGCGCCAGGCGCACAGACTGCGGGTCGGCTCGGTGCTGGAGACATGGCTGCAATGGGAATAAATTAATTGGCAATGCATTTATTGATTTTTTTTTGGCCTGGCTAACGAATCTTATTGGGCCACAAATCGTAACAATTTGATTAACAGGCAATTGGCTTAATTAGCGTCTTGCCTCTTTAAGGGGCCACTCGAATCACTTAACAGCTCCGAGATTATCTCTGTGTGTGTGTGTGTGTGTGTGTGCGTCTGTTAGTGTGTGGGGGGCGTGGCTGCGGGGGCGTTTGTATGTTAATCATTAGCAATAAAAGTGGCGTTGAGCGATAAGAAGAACAACAGTTGTGAGATTTACACATACGTCATATCAAACCTACCCCCCTCGCCCCCCGCCCTGCCCCCCTTCGCGCTGCTGATAAGCAGCTTTAACGCTATTTATAGCCATAACAGCTGTCAAAGTTGAGGCATTTGTTTGGCTAACAAATAATGAAATGCATTTACAATTGTTGTGGAGCACGGAGCACAAAATCAACAAGTCCCATGTTGAACAGTGTATGCGTAAATTTATGCAGTTTCTTAATTAGTTTTTACCTTTAACTGGCCGTTTAAGACGTTCGTCAAGCTGCGCTTTGCTGCAGCCGCCGCCAGACGACTGCGCTGCTCGCGACTGCTTTAAAACGGTTTATTTCAAGTGGTTTCTTAAATTTCTTTCTATTGCTTATGCGTTTTGCTTTTGTTTAATTGTTGCTAATTAGTATTTGTAATTCTACAATGTTTTTTAATACTGTTTGCGTACAATTTGCTTACACACAAAAAGAAAAACAATACAGCTGTCCGGGTTATCGATAACAGAAGTGGCGGCAAATCGATAGGCGCAACGCTGCTTGCCGCGAGTGCTGCCAACTTTCTGTTAGCTGCTACGATAGTTCGCCTATCGATAGACTGTGCGCGCCAAATTTAAATGGCGTTAGTGTGTTGCAGTTTATACCTGCTTTGCATTTAACGCACATAAATGTTGATAAATTACTTGTCTACGCGTACAATTTAATGCTGAATTATGTTGTCACGCCCAATTGACAAGCTCTTAAGTCTGACGAATAGGTGCCAGCATGTGTGTGTGTGTGTGTGCGTGTGTGCGTGTAACTGATATACAAATATAAAGTTGTTACTTCAGATTTACGCCAAAGACAAAGAGATGGCCCCTTCGGCACTGGCAACCACAGACATGGCGACAATCGCCAGGCAGAGCTCGGCACAGTTTCACTTTCATCACTTCAAACCCGATTAAGCACCTCATTTTATGTGTTATTTATCTACTGATTGGATGATGATAAAACGCCAGCAGACACAGGCCCTGGTTGGGGTCGGGTGTGGCTGTCTGTCTGTCCCTCAGTGTCGACGCGAGTGGTTAGGGCTAGATGGTATATGTACGTACGTAAAGTAGCCCCAGCGTTTGTTGGTTTGCTTTTGCCTTTGTCTTTGGGCGTACTTTGCCACGTCTATTAAAAGACAACAAAAATAAGCGTATAAATGCCGCATAAAACAATACAAAGAATAATAGGGCGACATTTTTCATTCCAACTGCCCCGCGGGCCACAGCACACAGACCACGCCCGCTACGGGCACTGCCTCCCCCCCAATACCCTACACCCCCCCTAAAGACCATGTCAGCCAGCTAGTCAGCGAGGCAGGCAGGCAGGCAGGCAGCCACTCAGTCGGCGACACCTGTCAAACTGCTTGGCGCGTATGTGCGTAGGCATAAAATAAATAAAAAAAAATTGACAGAAGGCAAAAGGAGCCACGAGACGCAAGCCGGAAGATGATGATGAAGCACACATACACACACACACACACACACCCACACATACAGACATACACAGCGTATGGCTGTGCACGTGGATATGGCTTACACAGTGGGTGCTGCGCTTGGAGTCGGGGTTGCAAAAAAAAAACCAAGGAAAATAATATTATGTCGACCCATTGAAACGAGCATGATGTAATTTTCTTTTCCGTTAAGTTTCATTTGCTTTTCCTACAAAATGAAAGTGGCCTTCCGTCATTGACAGGCATCATGATGGGCCAAAGACGAAGACGCTGACGGCGGTTGGTTGGCAGGGGCGAGGGTAGAACCTGCTGGTAGTTGGCCCAGCCCCGGGGCACGTGTTTTCCCCCACTTCATTAAAAAATTGCTCTAAAAACAAACAGAACCCAATCAGGTGTGGTTTGCTTGTAATTGCTTTATGACAATTGCTGCGTTAAATAATTTGCGCAATGTTTCTTGTGCAAATTTGTGAGCGCTTTAAGAGAAAAGTGTAGAAAGTTAGATTATTTTAGATGACACATGCCATTTTATATTTAGAAAGTTGTTAAGTTCCTAAAATCTGGCATATCTGCACTTGCAAACGGCTGAACTAGTTCAGTTCCACTAGGATCACTTTTTGTCTCGCTCTGACACATGTCATAAGCCATGCCAAGCAGTTGTCGAACCGGTAAGCAGTGTCATATAATAAGTTATCAGTGAACTGCTTGCAATTGGCGTTTGTAACTAGTTCAACTGAACTACTTTAAGATCAGTTTACTGCTACTTTTGTCTCGCTCTGAACGGCTAAGCAGTGCCATTAAAACGGTTATCTGTGCACTGCTTAATTGCCAGTCAATCCGTTCTCTGACAATCTGGCAATTAATTCGTTTAAATTGCGCCCAAGGCCTTCCGTGTGGGTGTGGATATATAAAAACTTCCCCACCCCCCTCTCTCTTTCTCTCTCACACACACGCGCGCCAAATGACATAATTTGTGATTCAATTATGTTGAAGTTTTGGCCGCATATTACATAAGCAGATTACAGCGCTGATAACAAAGCATTAAACTCATTAGGCGCAACGCACTCAAACAAATGCCACACGCACACATGCATTTGTGTGCGGGTGTGTGTGCGTCTGTCTGTGTGTGGGCAGAGGGCATGTCAGGCCGTGCCCATTAAATGAACTTATCAATACAACAACACAACAAATGTGATCCACAAAACGCTGCGCACCCCCCCCAAAAAAAGGTCCTTTAAAAAAATGAAAAAAAAAAGGAAAGAGAAAAAAATTGAAAACAAGAACAAGTAAAGCTCGACAATAAAGGCAAACAGGACATAAATTGAAGCAAGCCGCGCCAAATATCAACAACAAGCGCTTAGCCAGCCAGCGAGAACGACAAATACACACAAACAAACACGCACAAGCACACACACATACGCACACACACACACACACACACACACACACACACACACACACACTGTACATAAAATACTATATCGCATATCAAGGAAAATCACAACGAATGACCGCCAAAAATTAAATGTCCCCAGCGGACACAGTCAAAAAAAAAAAAAAAAAGAAAGAGAAGAAAAGAATGAAAGAAAGAAAAATAGAAGAAAGGCAAAATCAAGCACAGCCAAAGGCAACGGCGAGCGCGGGCAGCGGGACGTTCGGTTTTTGTGTGAATGGCGTTCTGAGAGTGAGTGACAGCTCAGAGCCAAGATGGAGACGCGCGAGAGACGCACGCAACGTCAACGTCCACGTCGACGTCGACGTCGACGTCAGCAGCGACGCGCAAAGCGAAATGAAAAATGATTGACTTTTATGGCGTAGCGCATATTCGGTCTTTAACATAATATTTCTCATAAAAGTGGGCGCTGTCGGCAGCTGAGCTTAAGCAGAGAGCACCAAAGAAGGAGAGAGAGAGAGAGTGAGGGCGAGGAAGAGAGAGAGCGCGACATTGTCATATAAAAAAATTGGCTAAATGTTGTCGCCGGCACAGAGCACGAGCTTCCGCCAAAGCGAAACACAAAAAGGAAAAAAGAATAAGGAGAAAAAAGTTCATGCAGTTCACAAATTTGATTGTGATGTTCTGTTGGGAAAGGGGCTGCCGGGGGCAGCACACACATTTCCGGTTAAAATAATAATGCGGCACCCACACACACACACACACACACACACACACACACACACAAGCAACAACAAAAGCAATAATTATGGCAAACGAGCTTGCCACGCCTAAAGCCTTACGCCCTTTTGTCGCACCAGTTTGCCAGCTTTGACATGAGCCTTAACCTACAAAGATGTCCTCCACACACTTACACACACACATACACACTCGCGCACAGACACGCTGTCATATACAAGCAACAAAGCAATCGAAACTGCCAGCCCAACCCACCCATCCCCCCGCTGCCCATCACTGGATGCCCCAACCTGCTCGGCTGCCTAGCAGAAGCGACCATTGTTGGCCAAGTGTGTGTGTGTCTCTGTGTGTGTGTGTGCGTGTGTGTGTCGTTGTATGTATTTGCAGGAAATTTCGTTTTATGCGCGAGACAAATCGCACCTTATTATGTGCGTGCATGTGTGTGTGCGAATGTGCCTGCGTGTGTGTGTGTACGTTTCGACTTTTCGCCGCGCCATTATCCACACTCATGCAGGCCAAGCTATATCTATGGCTTTATCACCCAACCAACACACGCTCACACACACACACACACACGTGCAGATGAATATACATTTTACGTGCATATGTGTAAGTGTGTGTGGCTAGCGAATGCGCTATGTTAAGCACAAAAGTCACTGCATACTTTTCAGCTGAACTATATCTGGCTACGTGCACGTGTACACGTATGTATGTATGTGTGCATCGGAGCTTATACACGAAATGACTTTATCCTTCACCTCATCAGCTGTGTCCTGACATGATCTTAACTCAGCTTAATACTCTTAATGTGCCAACTTTGGCTTTGTCAATTTAAGTTCCTAATTTTAATTAGAAGCTGTTTGCTTTTTTTAAGCTATTACATATCTATGTTGCGATAAGTGCAACTCTTCAAAAAGAACTACTTTTAGAATGTTATCGCAATCGAAATTTGAACAGGTTCGATAAACTTGTACGCAAAAGCTGACTTCTCTATTTGAACGGTCACACTGGCTACAAGGTCGCATTTTATGTTTAGCAGGGCGCGAGGATCGGCAAAGTACAATAAAACGCGCTGCCAATTGCTGTTTACTGCGCTGCTCTGCCGCGTGGAGCTCTCTTATCAACAACGACATCATCTTTATCTTTATCATCATGTTAATCGTGATTATCGCTGTGCGCTGCCAGACAGCGACAGAGGTTAACATAATTATGTATGTATATCGGCAGCAGCAATATTTGTGGGTCAACGCCGCAAACTCTGCACCCCCCCCTTCGTGTACCGTCATCATCGATAAATGCTGAGCATTAGTTTAGTTTTTTTTCGGCTTGTGCCTTCCAGCAGCGGCAGCATCAGCAGCAGCATTCCAAGAGCTTCGCTACCCCACACAACGGCCGACGTCGCTGCCAAGGCGACGAGCGACCACCACGCCCGCGAGAGCAACTGTCTGCCTGCCCAGCGGCAGATGTTGATTCCCTTTTGGGTTCTCCCTGCAGCCAGCCCCTCTGCTCTGCTGCTTACCATAGCATATCACGCGCTCCGCTCAGCGCTCTGCTCGCTGCCCGCTGCTCTGCTCGCAGCGCTGCTTTTGGTTTTGGTTTTTTATATTCTCTTTCTGTTTTTTTTTTCTAGTAGCTTTGAACCCAAACAGAGCGCGGCATTGTTTGCTTTGCTTTTGGGCTCCTGCTTTGGCGACTCCCACCCACCCTCCCTCCCTTTGGCCAGTCCCTTTTGTCTATGTGCTCCGCATCTGTGCATACGCCAGCCGCGTGACTTTGCCCAGAGCGTGTGAGCGTGCGAGTGAGTGAGAGGGCGAGCCACTGTCTGTCTGTGTGCGTGTGCGTGTGTGTGCGTGTATGC